AGTGGTTACAAGCAAAGCCAGGATTGGCTTGGTACATTTGCATCACTCGTTATATTCCCCCCTTCCCGCGCTTTTTTCGCCCCGTGATCGCGTTACCGCTGCGGATTATCGGCCCCCCAATAATCCCCCTTAATTGTCCATGACGGCAGGTTCGGCCAGGGTCCATTGTCCTTGATTGTCAGTCCCCTCCGGGGTGGGTTGGTTCCCCCCCGTTACGTGCAAGCCCGAGGGTTCTGAGTTGCGTGGTGATCTTGTTTCGCTGCCTGCGGCCCCGTTGTTTGTTGGCTCGCGCCGTTATCAGTGTGGAGTTAAAACTTCCGCTGAGGTTTTCCTGTTTGGCTGGGTGCAGGTGGCCCATTAATTAGCGTTCCTCTTTCCCTCAGCTAGCCACCGCCGGCGGAGTTCGTGCAGTGCGGCTGCAAGCTTCCCTGAAGCGCCGTGCCGGCTGAACCTGCAGGATCAATGGTCAGGCCTGAGCCCTCACTAAAGGAGGATTGGCCCTGTGCTTACAACTCACAGTGGTACAAGAAGGAAGCGCTATGAGGCACATGATAGTGGATTCTTCAGAAACACCCACACAGGCTCCAGACAGATGCGAGAATCAGTTGGGGCCACTGGTGCATTTATGGCAAACAGGTTGGCAGGAAGATACAGGTGGTTATGTTGGCTAAGATTTACAGTGCTGAGGAAGTACTTCTAGAAACGGTTGTCTCCTCCACCCAACTGATTTTTTTTATAACTGGTCATCCGTGATGGATACCTTTCTGTAAGAAATCATATTATCAAAAGACGTAACAATTGTTGATAAGAAAGGCAAACAAGTCTGGATAGTGGACATTGCAATACCTGGAGATAGCAGAAGAGAAGAGGAAGAGCTGGAGAAAATCACAAAATATAAAGACCTGCAAATAGAGGTAGAACGACTCTGGCAAAAGAAAGCCAAGATTGTACCAAGTGTAATAGGTGTCTTGGGTGCAATCCGAGGACATCTGGAGCACCACTGGAGCACCATCGGCATTGATAAAATCACCATCCA